TATACCAGGCCTACACCTTGTCACCGTTTCATACGGGTCATTTGTTTTACCCTTGGCCGAGGCAAAACTTGACGAGGTGGCTTCTATTTGAAGCCACAGCTGAAAACACTCCATACCACAGGATGCATCAGAGACGAAGGGGACAAAGAGAAACCCCAGGCACCTGGGATGCTCCTCAGTGTGGAGGGTAATGGTCTGGCCTTGGCAAGAAAGAAAACTGGGTTTCCCACTCTGCTGCTTCTATAGCTTTTGGGCTGTTCAAGAAACTGGATCTCCATGGTACTGTAACTCCACACCCTCGGGTATGTCACTAGCCCCCATGACTCTGGTTCCTCAAATGTGCCCCATGGAGTCAGTGTTCGTTAGCATAGTGTGTAGCCTAAAATAAGCACTTCATAAAGACTGGTCCTTATCACTAGGGACAGCAAGTTGTGGTGTGGCAGTGTGTACTTGGAGGGTTCTTATGTTAGCCAGTAGAAGTGACTGAGGCTTTGCAGATTCATCTTTTGGCCTGTGTTGGGCTGTCATTGGCATAACACCAGGGAGCCTCCCTCGTCAGTAGGAATGTGAATAGCAAGGAGAAGGAAATACCACAGCGGATAGAGTATGAGGTACTGATAATAATGCACCTGAAACTGTGAGACCTCCTGCCCTCATTTAACCACTGTGCCCCTCTCACGGGCTCTGCCTCAGATAGCCGTGAGAAATGTAGGAGCCCCTGCATGCAAAGGCTCAGAGCAGAGCCTTGCACAGAGTAAGTGTGCAGGAGCTGTGGGCCAGAGCTCTGTTGGTGAGGCTTTGTGCTTCAGAGATGAAGTCAAGGTTTCGAGAAGATGTTGGTCCTGCAGGCATCCTCACCTGACTCCTAGTCATAGCTATGTGAGCCTCAGCCATGGCAGCCTGTGTAGGCTGTCCAGGAAGCTGTAGGTATTTCGCAGCAGCCTTGCGCTGCTTTGATCCTGTGATGCCACGAGTGTGGTGGTGAGGGACACCAAAGCCAGAGGTGATGAGCAGCCAAGCATGCGGGTGCAAGGCATTTGCCTCAGTCCTGCAGAAACAGTGGGTTAAAGAAGTGGCTGTGTATTTGGGAGCCTGGGGATATAGGTGAGACAAGGGAGCCACAAGTGCTTCCATCTGGGATGGGATGAGTAGGGAAGTGTGAAAAAGGATTGAACTTTTCCTCTCAGAAGCAAACAGCCCTGTGAGGTGTAGGGAGGAGTCACTCGTGTCCTCATTTTGTGAATGGAGGAACTGGTGTGGAGTGGTTAATGACCTTCCCCAGTTGATGCTCAGTGGGGCTAGGTGGTTCCCAGGCCTGGCTTGCACATGGCCCTCCCTAGTTCCAGGTGCAGGGGACAGGGCATAGTGTTGGCCGGGCTCACCTTGTTTACTGGGGTGGGCACTATTGGGTTAATCCTTTTGGAAGCCAGCGGTCACTCTTGGGCCACTGGAGTTTGCCGGCTTTTGTCCCATCTCCTCCCAGCACCCCTCTCCCCCAAGCCTTGCTGCCTTTGTGACTAAGGAAACACTGGCCCCTTGTTCTCTCCCAATTCTGAACCTTGCATGCTGCACAGAGCAGTGTCTAGCATTTGCCTCACAGGATGGCGTGACTTGGAAACGGAGTGAGTGCCCACAGCCCTTCTCTGGCCCCAGCGGGTGGCCCTTTCATCAAGACACCCTCACTCCTTGCTGAGAGGGACAAATCGGATCCCTTCTTCAGCAGAGAACAAGGCGTCCCTGGAAATGTTCTCTTTTCTGGGGGCAGAGTGTGGTCAGAAACACAGAATGACAAACTTGTGTTGAGTTTGCTTTTTCCCAGGCGCCCATTCCTACCAAGTCTGGAGGCCTCTGCAGTGTCCCTTCTTCTGGAGCGTCCTCTCCCTAGAGCCCCCTCCCCTGCAGCCAAGCCTGCTGTCCCATGATGCACTGTCTACCCACATGGAGGCCCGGTTGCCTCCTTTCCAGCCAATGAGGAGCCTGAGGCTCCGGTGAGGTGTTTTCAGGGGAACAGAGTCTTTCATAGTGAGGTGTCATGTTTGGCCATTTGGGAAAATGAGATGCTTGAAGAGCTTTTATTTAGAGCCACAGTGACCCCACTTATGGCCTGCAAAGATGCTGGATGAGACGGCAGCTGGATAGTGGCTAGGCCTGGTGCATGTCCCAAGTTACTGTTCTCGTGAAAGGGTTTTACTGGCATAAAAATGCTTGGAAAATACACAGAGAAAAATGGCTGGCTTCCAGATCTCAACTGTTTACCTTCAGCAGAGTGCCCAGGAGCACACACAGAGATTATTTTCCAAACAGCCTACGGTTGTCAGGTCCACATGCCTTAGGCTGATACCAGAGGTGTCCCTCTGCCCACCTCCTGCCCAAATTCTCAGGACTTCTGACTCCTCCCTGGTTGATTTCTTTTCTTTTGGCAGGTGATGGAACTGCTGAGCTAAATTCCCAGCCTCTCTTTTGACTTTTTGAGACAGGGTTTCACTATATATTTCAGATCGGCTTTGAACTCACTGCGTATCCCAGGCTGGCTTGAGTTCATGGTGATCCTCTTGCCTCGGCCTCTTGAGGCTGTGCCACCACACCTCTCAGGCTGATTTCTGTCTCTGATGCTACACACAGACCCAGGAGGTTGTCTTTGGGGATGTGGGTGACAGATGTGGTTGTGCCAGCCCTGTGGTTTGTGCCCAGTGTCACTGTATTTGTAGCTGTCTTGGCCTGAAAATATTGGCCTCCTATTACATGTGTGCCTGTCATAGTGGAGTACAGCAGGAAGGGTTGGCACCTAAGAGTCCCCTCTCTTCTCTACCTCTTCTCACTGACTTCTCTGCCTTCCTTCAGATTCTGCTTTTTTTTGGAGAAGAGGGGTTGGGTCAGGACACACTGTAATATGAAGTCAGCAGATTGAGACAGAAAGGCCCTTGAAGTTTTCCCTTTTCACTGGAGGAGAAACTGAGACCAGAGGAATGGCAAACCCAGGCCAGCTGGCAGCTCAGCAGAAGCTGACACAGGGGCTTTGCTGCTTGGTGTCTGTCCACATCCCGTTGCTTGGTTTGATTGATTTTTTTTTTTTTTTCATCTTGGGTGGTTGGTGTCTTGGTCTGGGAAGGGAGAAGGTTGTCCCTAGCTCCTGGGCTCACTGTGAGGGTGAACGTGCACTTGTCTCAAGAAGACACGTGGGACATGCCCCTTGCCCTCACCCAGAAGGTGCAGTCAGTGCCTCAGTCATCTGGGTCTTGCTGTTTTGTTTTGTATTGTACACAGGCTCATCACCATGGGGAGACAAACATACTCTTCCATCTCATTGTGAGGTCTCTGGCCTTATTTTTTCCCCCTTAAAAAGGGGAGATCCCTTAACATTTTGCTGGGTGAACAACAAAGGAGAGGAGTTAAGAAGCTCAGCAGGAAAGGACTGGTACATTCTGAAAAGAGTTAAAATAAGCTACGTGTACCAAGGTATGGGTGGGACCTGAGGAGTCCACAAGGAACAAAGTGCCCCAGAGTGAACAAGTGTGCTGAGCTGTTACTACTCCCAGGCCTGGGGGACAAGAGGACCAAAAATGTAACTGTAGCTATAGAGATAAGCTGTCTTGGGAGAGGGGCTGTGGTTGCTGCCAGAAAATTTAACAGGTGGCAGGGGCCAGGAGAGTGCGAGAAGCGTGAAGATGGCCAAATAAACACCCAACTGCTCCCTCCTTCCCATCTTCTGCTGGGGCCCTGGATATCCTGACTTGGCTGGTGGTTGTGGCTGTAGAACCCGGCCTCCCAGGGCACCGAGGGGGCACTGGGCCAGAGAAGGGATGTGGGTGGGTGGGCAGATTTGCATCCCGGCTCCTCTGTTTCCTCTTACCAAGGTCCCAGGTAGGTATTAAGTCTCTGTTCCCCACTTTTTCCATTGTAAAATCATTTCTCACAGTGGTTGGAAATAAAACAGAACAGGCACATGTAAACTGTGAGCACAATACCGGCTTGGGATGATCGTTTTTAGCTGTCATTTGACCATGGAGAGTGAGCTCTTGAGTCCGGAGAGAGGTGCAGTTGGGCAGAGATGAGGTAGGGTGGGGCTCTTGGCCTTCTCTGGTCTCTGCTGAGCCATGCAGGGGGTCAGCCGGGTGCCGGGCTGGCGCCATAGCCTCCGTGGGCCAGGCTTTGCAGGTGGTAGTGACCGTGTGCTGGCGGCAGACATCTGGTCCTTCAGGAAGTGCGGTGTCAGGCTGCCCTCGCTGCTGGCAGGTGTTCCTGGCTTGGGATCAGGTGATTCCGACTATCAGCCAGCAGCTCTGGCTCCCCTGGGGACTGATCTCTCCAAGCCCAGGTTCTTGAAAAAATAAACACACTCCCTTGTGGAGCAGCTTGAGCAGTACTACCCTGATTGCGGGCAGCTTGTTCTCCTCTGCAGCTCACCAGGAGCCCACATCTCAGACCAGTGCAAGTCTGGCTGGGTCCTCGAGCCAGCAGCTCTTTCATTTTCCAGGACTACAGTTTTGTTGAGACTTTCTGTGGTTACTTGGAAAGAGTATTCACTCAGATTCACTTCATTCTGTTTAGGCTGTGTGACTTTAGTCATTTTACTTAATATTTCTGAGCCGTTTCCCCAAGTTGTTGGGCAGATGAGACGTATTTAATAAATGCTTTTTCTATACCACTGTTTTAGAGCATTGCTTGCTTGTGTAGGTGTTTTCTGCCCCTGAGTGGCATAGGTTACGGGGACCAGAAGTGCAAATCAAGGAGTTGGTGAGAGATTCAAGCAATGGGGCTTTTGGGCTGTTCCTGTCAGTCCTGCCCACATTTTGCACAAAGTTGGTGAGGGGATTCAGTTTTGCACTTGGAGCAGAGGGACCCTGAGGGCCCTGTCTTGCCTCAGTGGAGAGCCTGGTATGCTTCTTCCTCTCGGTGTCTGTGCAGGCATGAGCATCCTTGGGGGCTCAGGGCAGTCAGTAAAAGGGGAAGCAGATGCAGGTACTAAAGTTGTCGCCCTCATCTTTGTTCCCACCTCACAGCTGAACCTCAGCCGGCCAATTGAGGAGCAGGGGCCTCTGGACGTCATCATCCACAAGCTGACTGATGTCATCCTCGAAGCTGACCAGAATGACAGCCAGTCCCTTGAGCTGGTGCACAGGTTCCAGGTGAGTGAAGATGGGCAGAGTGCAGGCCTGGGAATTGCTGTAAGCTACAGACCAAGCTGTAGTGGCTTACTCAACCTGTCATCCACAGAAGTGGTTCTGCCACTGGCAGGACATGGCTTCCTGGCAGGTGCTTCTCTGCAAGTGAGGCCTTGGTCTCACAGGACAGGCACCCAGGGTATATACACCCCTGCCACCCAGGCCGTGATGATGTGGGCTCCACATCCTTGGCATGGGTGCTCAGCCCTGACAGTGGCTCTGTCTTCAGATTGACGTGGGGCCCTTGGGGAGCAGAGGGACCTCAAGGGCCTTGAACTAGGTTGTGCCTTGGTGAAGAGTCCTCCCTCTCTGCTCGTTGCCTTGACCCTGCAGGCTCCTTGTTGAGAATGGCTTGAGATGTTGTGTTGAGTCCCCTTGGCTCTTTCCTGCTCCCCACTTATTTTCTCAGCAACCTCCCTGGTCCTGACCCCACAGCGACTCACTGGCCACCTTGGAGCTTTCATGCTGGCCAGCTGTTACCACTGCCACTGGCCTACCCTGTGTGTTCCCTTCTGTGGACAAATGTGATTCTTCTGGGAATCAGCCCAGGGTCATGAAGGACAGTCATATTATCAGCAAAAATGCAACCAGAATAGTGACTATTCCCCCTCCTTCCTGGCAGGATGGGTGCCTGAGCTAACACATCTGCGTGATAACTGGGGACTTGGCATCCATTTCTCTCCATCAGGACAAAGGGGCTCTTGTTGCATAGTAGCTGTGCTGCCTACAGTGCTCTTCTTTCTCACGCAGTCAGAGCTGTAGGCCTTAGCCGTGCTCACTTCCCAGTGGCTCTCGCCTGCTTCCTTGGCCAGCTCTCTGCTGTAGAGTCTTGCTTGCCACCTGGGAGTGGCCTTTGACCGGTTGCAACTGCTCCTGGCTTCTGGTGACCTGATGGTGGCAGAGCTGGAGTGGGGTGGGGAAGTGCCCTATGTAGCTCATGTCCTCCAGTAGCCCAAAGGCCCTCCTACTTGCTGGGCTGTATCTTCTCATGGGGCTGAGGCCATGGGAAAGGCATGGGTATGGTTCTCTGCAACTTTGTAGAGCTTCAGCTTTCTTATTTTTAAAATGGGTGCTGCTCACAGGAAAATCTCCTGGCCTGTGGGGTGGAGCACATAGACAATGATATCGAGTGTTAACACCGTGCCTAGCCCCAGCAAGCTCCCTGGAGATCCCTATCACACTTGGCAAAGTCTAGCTGTGCACTGGGAGCTCTCCAGGCACCAGGGTTTGAGCACTGACAAACAGGAAACACTTGCCTTCTTGACTGACAGCTTGTTGGGCCCCTGTCCCATGGAAGGTCAGGCTGAGAAACACTCACCCCTGTGCTCGTTTAATCTGAGCAGCCTCTTGGGAAGGACGGGACTGCTTTGTTTTATAACCAGGAAACTGGGGGTCAGGAGTATGTGTAGGGTGTCCACAGGAACCTGGGAGAGCCAGGATTCAGTCTTGACTTTCTCAGTGGACCCACTGCACAATCCCTCAGGGTGGCTCCTCTGCCTGCTTGGGCCCCTCCCCTGTCACCAATATGGGTGCAGCCCCAGCTGCTGAACACTGAAGCAGTGCCCTTCCTCATCCCTGATGTGTCCACATATGCCTCACCTGGCCTTTTCCAGGAGGCCTCCACATGTCTGGTGCACCTGGTGATGTTCTTTGGGGAGCACAGTGGACCTGGGGAGCAGCAGAGGCCTTTGGGGCAGGGATTCCCGTGGAATAAATGGGGTGGTGGCCTCGTGAGGACCTGTTGAGCTGTTTGGGCAGGCTGGGCAATATGTAATGATGGCAGTCATTATTATAGCCGGAAACATTTGCAGAGCAGTAACGATGTACCAAGCCCTGCTGTAAAGTACTTTATAAATATTAACTCATATGCTTGTTGAGCAATAAAATTTTCTGATGTCCCCAGACAGGTGAAGAAACAGGTGTGTGTAGGAAGTTTGGGCAGCTTGCTCAGGACTCCCTAATTAGACAGTGGTGAGGTGGGTTTGAACCTGTGCTGGGTGAACCTCGCTATCCCTATCTGGCCCCCTAGAGAGGGAGGTTGACTCAGTCCAGGACTGACACCCACCCTGCACGACAGTTTGCTCGTCATTAAAATGAGATTCCAGTGGTAGTCAGGGCCATGTGTATACAGTGCCTTCCTGCTGCTGGGCTTCCAGTATGGCTTCCACAGCTCCTTCTGTTAGAACAACACCATCTTTCCATGAAGGTGTGGCCCCCAGCTAGCCCTGGTGCCCAGGAGTTATGGGACAGGTACCCTGTGTAGTGGAAGGCTGCCTGCCTGCCACTGGGTACATTTCCCAGGGAGGGTCTTGGCTGGGTCCCTGAGTCTGTCCCACCTAGGTCACATACCCATTTGGCTCCAGCTAGGGGTGGTGGCCTCAGGATAACCTTGTAGCCCCAGTATTTCTGGGATAAATTTTCATTGCAGTTGGTATTTCAGTAAGAAGCCAGATCTCTGATAAGGCCAGGAAGTTTCCTCCTTTGTTGAAGAGAACAATCCTTTGGGGAGAAGTGTGCCAGGCTTTCTAGAGGCCCCAGGAGGAGAGGAGTCAAGCAGTGGCTGACATGGGGGAAGGGACTTCATGGTGAGGGCATGGAAGAGCATCCCTGTGCCACCAGGCATGGTGTTGTCTATGCTCACGTGGTCATCTTCCTCTGCAGAGATAGAGGTGAAGTCTCAGAACCAGGCCACTTGGACTTTGAGGCTGACATTTGACCTGGGCCGTGCCCTTTGTCTTCAGATTCTTAATTTTTATCCTTGGTATATTAACAGGGAAGACATTAGTGTGGTTTGGGGACTGGGAGGGACAGGGAGGCAAATAAATTTCAGATGTGGGAAGCATAGCCCAGGGCTTGGTTTGCAAAGCAGCCCTTCCTGCATTTGTTGTGATTAGTAAAACAATTCAGACAGCCTGCCTCTGCTTGAAGGGTCTTCTCCAAGCAGTGTTCACACCTCTGGGAAGTATTTGGAGGCTGTATGTATGGAAAAAAGTGAGTTTCTGGGCTGTTCTTCAGAGCTCCAGAATGTTCCACAGCGGGATGCTTCCATAGACCTCTGATCCCCAGAGAGGGAACTCTTGAGCTGGGTGGCCATGCTTCCCTCTGACTCTCCAGCTGGACAGGTTGGAGGGTGTGGGCCTGGGGTGCTGTTGTTTTGTTTTTTTTTTCCTTTTGGATTAGCCTCGTAGTGGTTTGACTTGGGACACTCGGGATGATTTGGTTCATTTGAAGCCAGTGGCCTGGTGCCCCCCAGCTCTGCCTGAGATTTAGTTATCAGTGCACAGATGTGGGCCTGTGTGGGTGCGTGGTGCTGACCAGAAGCCCAGGGGCCTCCTGGCCCCTTGAACAGCTTTTTCAGGGGAGCAGTGGGCACCTCCTCCTTGCGGTTTTTCCCAGTGCTATGTCAGGTGGGAGGGATGGCCCTCCTCTGCTGCTGCCTCTTCAGGCCCTAGCATTGGCTTCGTGGGGTTATGGTGGTCTTGATCCAGAGGGATTTTCCCTGAATGAGATTAGAAGAAGGAGGCTGGAGTCTGTCTACACAGCTTCTTCCATTTGGATCAGCTGAAAAGCTATTAGTTTTCCCTAGTGTTCCTGGACCCCTCTCTGAATATGTTCTCCAAGGACAGCTTTCTGCACAGAGCTGAGCACCATCCACATGAGCTCCCCTCCAGGAGAGTGGGCCAGGGCACTGGGAAAAGCCCTCAGAGCCCAGAGAGATGAGTCAGGGAAACACAGCCCTCATCACAGTATCGACTGCTGTGTGCTTTCTCGTGTGGTGGAACTAAATGCCATGATTGTTAATGTGGCTCATGGGTCCGAGTGACCTGGTTGCCGCCTCTCTCACTGCACTGACCCTCCCGCAGCACCTGTTCATCCTGCTGTTGCTCACCCCAGTGCCTGTGCATTACAGGGCTTCAGCCCCTGTGGGAAGGACCTTCCCAAAGCATTTTCTGTGATCATCAGACATAGCTCTGGTCCTCTGCTCTCCTAACTTTGCTCCTTTTCTTCACATATTTGGAAGGTCCTAATTCCTTATCAGGACCTATAGTCTGCCCCTCCATGGGCAGGGTCGGGGGTGGATCTGCTCTCTGGTATTCCCATCATTGCCCTAGGTGTCTGTGTGCTTGTCATAGGTGTACACTGAGTGCTTGCCTTGTGCAGGGTACCCAGTGGGCAGGGTACCAGCTCTGGTGGGCAGCTGGGAGATGGAATGGGCAGCAAGGGTTTATAAGGCAGAAGGCACAGCCTCACAGGAAGCAGCAGGAATGGAAGGAGGTGTGGCAGGGCCAGATCCCAGGGCATTTTCATGCCAGCCTGTGGTGCTCGGAATTTCTCCTGCAGAGAGATCAGGGGGACAGGATGGTAGCAATAAGAGCAGGTCTGATTGGCAGCATGGCCCTTCGGGAGGGGATGGGAGTTGCCAAGACAAGGTGAACTCTGAGCAGGTGGGGGACACCAGTTAGTCATCAAGCTGGGCGTTTCCTGGATGAAGAGGGAGCTTGTGACTTGAGGGCCCAGTGGGACTCCTATCTGTCCTCAGCCCTAGGTGTCTTGTGGTCTTAAGCTCCTCCTCCCTCAGCTGTGACAGGGCAACACGGGTGTTCACTTGAATGAAACAGGTCAGAGAAGGGAATGCTTTACTTGTCCCCAAAGAGGCAGGGAGAGCACACTGGGCTTCATTGGCCCTTTATCAGTGACACCATTCAGTCACTCTCCAGTGGCCCCCAGCCAGGGGACAGGGAGCAGACGGGCTGGGCACAAGTAGGGAGGGTGTGGCCTGCCACTCCGGGGAACTGGGAATCGCAGGATCAGGTTCCTGTGGAGGCCCGTGGAGGGCAGGGCCTTCACAGCCTTCCTGCTGGCTGGTTGAGCGAGGCCAGGCTTCGATGCTGGGGCAAGCAGCTCCTGCCACCCTGAGCTGCCTGGTGTCTGACTCAAGCCTCAGCTTTGCTCAGCTATGTAGC